AATTAGCTATAATCATCCCACTTTACGCAAGCAAACTATTTTCTGATGACAAGTTATATTGAGGTGTGCCATTGTAAAACAGAATATAATTCTGTAATAATATTGTCTTCTAATATCAAATAATGACACAGCTCGTAGATTATATTCAATATAGGAGAAAGTAACAGTAGTTCGGAAGACGTAGTTATCGGTGACAAAGTTTGCAAATCGTACAAGCATGTTTACAACAAGAGGACACATAAAAATTGCAAATATTCTCGAGAGATATATTAGAAAGAAAAAAATAAGACGATGCATAGACGACCAATAAGCGAATGAAGTATAAAAATTACGTAAATTTACTAAGAAAGTTCAATGTTTGCTTCCATATAATCATCGTTAGATTATTATGAAAAGAATGAGAGCAAGCCTTTTTACAACATAATGGAATAGTTGGTAAGCACCGAATTAGATTACACCACTAATCAATTGATAGAACAATAAGTTGTAAAACTACTTACATGATGTGCGTAATATTTGCAACGACTAACCATGTTTTGAAAATGTACAATTAATTATTAATATACGCTCTTGATACGTCTTTTCTCTTAAACAATGTTCTTGTCCACATGAAGAGTCAATCTCTTATCTACGAGTACCTTAACTTTAGCTTAGAATGTAAGTACAATATCTATATCACATGATCATAACTAGTTAAGGGGTGTAACAATTCGGAATGAGAGATCATTAATTGCGGAACTAGTGCATATCATTAGAGATGTCTTCTCAGCCAGAGTCCTCACAATCGTCCCACGTACATGATTTAGTGGATCAGAACAAGACTCATTTCAATGCAATAGCCAAATCGTACGATACTCATCCTACGCGATCTATGATTGGTAGGAAATGTGGAGAGGCTATTATTCGCGAATATGGTCATTTATTCGATGCAAATACAACCGAAGTCATGGACTTTGCCTGTGGAACAGGTCGATATCAATTGTTAGCTGCTGATACTTTTATCATATTTGATCTTACAAGCTCTTGCAAATAATACCAGGCTTGATATCTGAGAAACTAGCCTCTTACTCAAAATACATACTCGGCGTTGATGCAGCGCAGGGAATGGTGGATGTATACAATCAGAAATGTTGGCAGCAGGGAATAGACAAGACAGAAATGGAGGCGGTCTGTCAAATGTTGACTGATGAAGCAAGTGAAAAGGGTGATCAGTTGAATGGGAAGAGATTCGATATCGTTGTGGTGGGTATATGCGTATCTTGTATACACTATAAAAACATCAACCAACAACATTCAATCTTTTAATCTCGTCTTTTTTTTCTCTTTTAGTGTTCTTCATCCTATCATCACTTTTCCTCTACACAGGATATTACGCGTATCCTCGCCTCGTATCTCAAACCTTCAGGACATCTGATAGTCCTCGATCTGAAGTACGATGAAAAGACTTCTCCTAAATTCCATTCGTGTGGTAAACATAATAATGCCGTTACCTCGCATACGCATAAACACGAAGACGGCAAACATGTGGATGCCGTAGCCCATCGAGGAGGATTCAATCTTGAAGACGTTAAAAGTATGTTTGAAAATACAAATGTTTTAGACAACATACGAGTGGAAATCGCGTTTACTTTTGAGAAGTTTGTTGAAAGTGATGAAAAAAATTACGAGTTTGAGTACTGGATCGCTTCTGGAAGGAAATTTTAATATATATATTTCTGGGTTGGTTATATGAATTGATCTGTAAACTTTAGGCATATATAGAAGTTCCCCGTTTGTCCGTTCATTGTTAACCAATTTTACTATTGGACGTATTGTCAATTCCGTGGTTGTTTCACCAATAACAGGGATGTATCTGAAAATATAGCAATGCTACTTGTAACTGGAGACTATACAGGGCACGGAACTATGATATCTCTTATTCATATGTCACCATTACCACGTAGGCATATATATACTTATATAACATGCTCTTTTTAGCTTATATGTCGTGCGTAAGAATCGAATTCCGAAAACCATTTCAGCCCAAGAATATACATACCGTTAGCATGACGCATGAATAAGACTCGCGTTTAACTCCTTGGGTGGTTAAGTCCCTCAGCACGAGATACCGTCATCATCAAGAGGGAAAAAGAAACGAGGTAGAATGGACATAATGATCAGCCGTACAGAATGCGTGTTGATTTTATACCTGTGGTCCTCGGTATCGTCAATCGTCATTCGCCGTTCAAATACACTTTCTCGTGAATGGGCACGCTTGTCAAAAAGCAAAAGATTATGCAATAAACGCAAGAAAAACAAACGCGTTTACATATAACATTATTTAATAATTATTTATGGTCGTCGAATTCTAAGAAGCGAAAGCGTATAATAATAATAATAACAGAACATAAATCGGAGAGGCATTGATCGCACAATACTATTTACATGATGTATGAAACTGGCCTCTATGGTAAATTATGGCCTCGCTTTCCGGCGGTCCTCTTACTGATATAAAATAAAGACGGAGTAATCGTAATGCTTGCGTGCAACATAGCAGGCGCCCAGCATCAATGTAGAAACCCTAAATGTATCGCAATTTTGATAAAAGAACGCCACCAGTATGGTCCTGCTGGCATAATACAGTTTGGATGCAGGATAATAGAATTATTGTAGAGGTTGAAGAAGAAGATGCAAGGAAAACGAGGTTTGATGGTATGTAACAAAGTTGCTTTAGAAAGCGTTTAATATATACACAGTTATTGTAGCAAAGTAACAGTAATAAAAGTAAACAGCGTTTATGTGTTTCAGCATTAAGAGACTTAAATGGAAAATTGACGGAAAATGAACGGATTCTTCAAAACAAACAGGCATAGATAAAATGATTCTTACTTTCTACCGATTTTGTCCTCTATATTTTAATTCTCGATTTAGTCACATGGCTTTCGATCGGTTCCAGGGTTAAACACTGCCCGGGTAGGACTGCTGAATGACAAGAAATCATAAACTATTGCACCATCATTGGAAGAGTTATTTTCTGAATGCATCATTGGTTGACATTTCATCCCCAGTAATCCTTCGAAATGACGAACAAAGACCCTTCGCCGCTGATGTTCATCAGGAAAGAAATCAGACATAGAAAGACACATTGTTGCAACATCACCATAAAACTGATCTGTCACGCTGGCATCCACACATTCAGCAAGAAACTGATCAAATATAGGATTGTAGAGAACGACAGGCTTGGCGAGATATTCCTGGTTGGGCCTATCACAACGCAGTTGAATTTCTTTTTGCAAAGATGGAAATTCTGAGAGATTTGCCATCTTAGAAGGGGCCTTAATCTCTCGCATTCTTTTTGCAATTCTATCGCGATCTTGATCAATATCCATCATACTAATATGCGAACGTTTCGCAGAAGTGCTAACTATATAAAAAGAACAGGAATAAACGGTTAAAAATATAACAAACAGGCGGCAGAAGAACAATAACGAGAGAGCACTTACCAGTATCAGTGCCTGTCGCATGTTAACAGAGAAGAAATTAAAATTAGTATTACAAGGTTACTTGTCTACTACTCTATGTCCCCACGCCCGAGTCACAAAGTCGTTACCTGGTTGAGTTTTCAAAGCTTCCGTGAGGTCTCGTTGCAGTTTTTCTACCTGCTGCGTACGCTCCTCCTTCCTATCCTCCAGCTCCTTCCGCCGTTCCTCCAGCTCCGTCCTCTCCTTCTTCCACCTTCTCTGTTGCGCCTCCGTCCCCTCCTCATCCCAAATCTTATTTTCCAAGTTCGTCAACCTCTGCCCATATCTCCCCTTCCACACCTGTAACTCGTTCTCCGCCTTCTGCTCCTTCGCCTTCGCCTCCGCCAGCTCTTGTCTAATTACGCTTGCCATTTTTCGATCGTTTTTTTTTGGTTTCGATGGAAGGATGTGCTGCTGCGCAATATGATCTAATCCGTCAACCTCCCCTATAGTATAGAAGGTGTGACTAGGAGGTGATAATTGATGCACAGCAACGCGCATTTGTCTATTTAAGCATCATTGCAAAATTTTAGTATAGAAACAGCACTAGTCGCTTATTTTCAAAGACAAATATCGTTTAAAACGATAAAAACTAGATCTAACAATTCCATCAATAAATCTTTCGAAGAATGTTTAAATTCATAAGTGAATTCTTTCTCGGAGTATTAACTGGCTTCGTTCTCGGCCTGTTGCTAAATAACATGATCTGTAATGGTCGGCCTAATATAAATAATGCGGAAGCCTTAATTCAAATAATGAAGTTGCTACCCATAACAAAACTGTCGGCGACGAACAAAATTTACTCGCCAGAAATCGAAAAATTGTGGAACGATCTGAAACGATTATACGATGAAATAATTAAATTGAATCCAAAATTTTTCATTTTATCAAATGGCCACCGAAATCCGCAAATTACGCGAAGGAAAAGGCGTTGCTGCCACCACGTTGAAAGATTTTTACAAACAAAAAACGAATCCGAGGAAAAGAACACTAAAAGCTATCGAAGAATGGGTTGATAAAATAAAGAAATAGAACATAAAGACGTTAGCACTAATGAAGTGTAGTATAAATTGCACCAGAGTGACCAAAGAATAGGTTATACTCATAAATGGCTTTGTGTCTGAGTATTTTCCTCCCATTGCAATCACTCTGGTGCATTAAAAATGATGATTCGACAGATACTTGCTTTATTAGCTGTATTTTATTTTTTTAATTTAATTTACTGAAGGCTAGCTGCTCCTAGAACTGATGCTAAGAAACATGATAAAATATTATTACGATGTTAAATTTGTTTAAATTTGTCTAAAAAATTCCTGAATCTTGCTGCTAATTTTTTGAGCTAACGTTTTCCTGAACTCCCATACTCGCCTGATCCTGATCCTCCAAAAGTTTATGGCGCAGTTCTGGTTCATTAAGAATAAAATTTTTTACTTACAGTAAGATCTGGATTTGTCAGATACGAGTTAAGCTGTGCGTATAACATCAATCCTAAAACATAATTAATGTTAAAATAATAACGGGTTCAAAGATTTTTTAAAATCGGTATTATATAACATTAATAATTGGTATACTATGCAAATAAATTAATGAACGCTATTGATGCGCATATTACAGAAATCAATTGAGTGATTAAATACGATATCGAGATTATCTCAAAAATCGATTCGCTCAAGCAAGTCTCATCGTTCACTTCATTAACGGCCCGGAGAATATACAGTAATGTCTGTAAACAACTTCACTCACAGTACTACTGTACATAATGTTTGATCCTGCGCGGTGAACAACTTTTGTCACCCTTATTCGGCTTGCAACATACGAGTTATTAATTTGGCATCTCTCTTGTAACCGAAGAGAGAAAGCAGGAATTTATACACGCACGCGATGTAAGGAGTTATTTCTTCCTGCCAATAAACAAGCTATAGACGTGTATTTACGGGATACCCAGATTAATTATGGTTGGTTTCAAGTACTGCCTATACCAAACTGACCGGTCGGAGAATTTTAGTTCGTTATAACCAGAGTTTTTGTTTTATTGAGTAGAAAAATCGGGTCTGGTGATTCTGGTTCGGTATATCCAAAGTTCGGTGTATCCAGGTTCGGTATAGACTTGTATAATAATAAGATGATTTTTTTAGCGTAACCTGATGGTACTTTGGGTGTAACGATAACAGCAAATGTTGCCCAAGGGCAGGATGCTCCGGAAAGCCAGCTGCTTAGAGAATACTTTAGACAAAAATAGATTCATCTCAGTACGTTGGGAAAGATATAAATTTTCAGCCCCAGAGTCGGTGTGTTCATACAAGTGTTCAAAACACCACATGTATTCCTTGTATCTTATCAACGATCGAGGATCTATTGTTTGTTTACTCTGAAACATACAAACCCTATTCTCTGAATTATTCGGTATAGACGGGATCACTAATCCCTATATCGAATCGCTAACTTGTCCAGCAATTATCTCGGCGGACTGTAAGCTAGTTATTCTGTTGAGTAGCAACGCCCCAACGAAAGAACCGATGAGGACGGTACGATCATTGGTATTGTACGTGTTATAAGTGTAAACAGATGGATATAGCTACGCTTAAAGAGTCACGCTCCGTTTGGAAAGCTCGCTCTCCCGTGACTCTTGCTCGACACAAAACAATATATTCTGGTATTAAAAGTTAAAAATGCATGTTTCTTGGACGTTAAAAAGTAAAATACAATTCATTAGTTTCAAGCGAAAGCATGCTTGCTGTTATTGTCTTTTTTGAGCGTTACAAAAATATTATAAAGACACTATCTATAATAAAATATTCTAAATTATTGAAACACACCATATATTGAATTAAGAAATTAGTTCTTACAACCCATCTCTTGCTGTAAAGTCTTCAGTATCAATGGCTGTCTGGTCTAATCCAAATGAGTCTAACTAGCCAACAGTCACAATAACTCAACACTCATTACCACTCTATTAATCCTGCTTTTCCTTCACCGGAACTCCCGTTTATGGATCCACGATAGAGATCTTTAATGACTTTTCCTTCGATTACCGTCTTCTCTATAATCGCCTTGCAATGGCACGGACTTACTCTTCCATACCAGATACCCTGACCATCTCGATAGATTATAATATTACCAGCAAACTTGTGACCTAAATATATGACAAGCATTACCGATTCAGTCGTGTGTGTCAAGGTAAAAAAAAAAAAATAAGAGCTCCAAGATTTTCTCCCCTATGTGTTCTCTCACCTCCGACATGACTAGACATATACACAGCTACACCATCGCTTCTTGATTGAACGTCCAATTTCTTCTCCTTCAACACTTTTTCAAACTCGTTTCTTAAAAGCGGGGCAGTGATTCCACACCTTTTATCTCGTCTCCCATGTGAGCATATAAATATTATCGCTTTGTTTGTTATTTTCTCGGAACTTATAATACTTTCAGCATTTTCGTCGACCTCTGCGGGTTGTGTATTGACCGACAAGTAAGATTGGAAAAATCGATTTGCCTGCTTTACAGATAGGTTTCGGATTAGAACATATTCGGGGAATAACATGACGTCTTGCGTTGTGGAAAAGATGTCAGAGTTTGATTTGCGACTGCAGTTTGTAATTATAATGCGCGGTTTGCGTTTTGAATCGGGTGAGCGGGCTTGTTGATCCGATTGGTTGTTGTTAGTCGAGTCTGGCGACGTCTTTTTTGATTTGCTTTTATTCAATTCACCTTTTGTTAGCTTACTGATGGTCGATGCCAAACCTTCCGCGTCTTCGATGTGCTTGCTCCAGTCTTCTTTTCCGGTTGATATTGCTACATGTTTGATGTATGGTTTGACGGTGCCTTCTAATGGAGAATCTCGATCTATTCGTAGAAATCTTGGATATTGAGCATGTAATGAGCATGGGTCTGGACATGAGTAACAGGGGTCTTCATCTTTGATGTCATCCAGCGTCAGTAGTTCCTCTGGGAAGGGTGTGTTTTGGTGTGGTAACGATTGAGGTTTTGTTACTTCGGTATCTGACGCAAACGATTGTTTTCGGTTCTTGGTTCGATCAGAACCCGATGAAAAGCTTGACTGGATTGCTTCCAATATGCGTGATAGTTTATTTGGCTTTTCCATGATGTAATAAAGAAAGGGTGGAGAGAGCGTGTGTAAGATCTATTTATATTATTATTACTTCACTAAACCCCTGGAATTATTTAATCACAGGTGTGATCATAAATGGAAACGCCCGATCTGATAAGTGTCTCTCGGGTTCCCCCATAGATAATAAACTGACTCTTTATCAGATCGATATACACGGGAGTACGACAAAATAAACAATCGCATGCATATGCATGTGTAGTAGGGGTTGCTGTTAATCATGTGACTGTTATTGACGACTTGGCTCTGCTTCTTGGCAATATAAAACGCCCAACATTGATGTCATTCAACGTAGCACATATATAATTATATTGTAATAACCACTTGTTACATTGATAGTAATCTACTAAAGATTTGAAATTCTTTTCTCAGACAACAGATGCCATTGAAACTATGTCTTTATCATGGATATAATTACGTCATTGCTGGCTAATCAATTTGTCATTCGTGTCATCTGTTCTTTGGTGCTATACTAATACATTATCTCAAAGGAGTGTTCGTTCCTTGCTCCCCCCAACGTTGGTAAGCACTGCGTTTTTTAGACTTTTTATGTTACCTTAACAACACACGTCACTGCACTGACAACTTTAAATTGACTATTTTTCAATCTTTCTGCAGAGGACAGATGAATGTGACCAAGAAAAAACTCTTTAATTGTGTGATCATTAAATAATGATCTAACGCGCGAAAAACCTTATCAGATGCTTTCCATTTTAGTCCTAACCAACTAGATGCATCTCCGATGATGTAATGACAGCATCGTACTACATAGCAGATTCAAACTCGTATTATAATTGGTCAACCTTTATTTGGGGCATGCTTGCAACAAACTCCTTTGTACCGTCCCCCGGATATACCAATTTTTACTATAATAATAACAGCCCAAAGTTTCAGGAACGGTTTTTGACATATGAATTTATCCTTTACATACCGGCCTCATTTTATAACGGCTCTGGTCGAAATTTTGCTGGACGAAATTCGTCCTACTACGCAGTCAGTCTCGATAAGTCGGCCAACCGGGTTTGATCTCTAAGACCTACTTATTATCGAGAATCATTTGATAAATATTAAGCCGTTTAATTAGGCCTTACTAATTATTAATAATTACATCGGAAAAGCAAAATAACTTGCAGACCCTGCTTGATTTAGAGAAGCGATTTGCTTTTTTCTTAAGCGTACATAGTTTTTGCCCCAACATCAAATAAACCATTTTGATTGCTGTATGCTTTGATCGTATGATCTTTAATGGCACGTAACAAGTAAGATCTGCATCGTACGAGCAGTGATAAAAATGTGTCACGTTATACATTGATCCCACGAGACCGACTTATCAAAAAGAAAATTTTTTTTAATTAAAAAAAAAAAGGTGAAAAGATTTTGGCCGACTTAAGCCAAAACCGACTTATCCAGACTGACTTGTAAAAAATATATAATTCCGGTCGCTCATGTAGCACAATAAATAAACCTTCTATTACTATGTGTCCTTCCACTTTTACTTTCCCCAGAAGATTGCCAAATCATCTTCCGCTGACTGTTAATCAGCCCTCACCAATCAATAACGAAAAAATTCCAGATTTCACTCACTGCTTTACAGAAACAGAAAATTTGCTAATTTAAGTCAAGACATCCTTACTACTGTGAATTACGGAATCTTTGCTTGCGGAAGCAATGATTGGTTACATACATCATGAAAACGATACGGGATGCTGACGGCCTATCCGAGAGCGATGACTGAATTTATCGAACAACTGCCAGACAATTCATTCGTTGCACGAAAAGACGTGGATAACTTTACAGCGTTACGACGTAATATTGAATTAAGCAGAGTGGCAAGAAGTTTTAGAGATGGTTTACTGTAACAAAGTGAACATATTATTATGTGACGTAAATAAAAAGGTATGGCAGAAAAATCGATTAAGTAACCAATGATGTTTTGGAAAGGTGGCATATAATGTTACTGTCGCTTTTTAAAATACAACCAAAGTTCAAACAGTTTTAAAATAATAGTAAATTCTTTCTTTGATGTTATACTAATTTTTTTGGCTATCATATTCGCTAACTTTTTGTTGTTTCTATGTCTAAATACATACTATAAAGTTGTAATAAGGGTGATAAAATAAAACATATGCAGGTAAAATTATAATAATAAGTAAATATGGCAAATAACAATATTATATCCTTGAAAATATCAAACACTTTTAGCTGAAAGAAAAATTAAAAAAAAAAATTCTAAAACTGGATGAAAAAGCAAAAAACAATCATAATAATTAAGAAGAGTGAATTGAATTGATAGAGTAGGGCTGAGAATTGTATTGATAAACTTCTTAAATATAATGACCGATTGAACCTGCTATTTATGATGCAATAATAAGGTATTAGTATTAGTATTTATATTCTGATGATAAAGTTCTTACAATCAAAAAAAGGAATATGAAATTATCTGATTGGAGTTTCACTCCATTTAATGTAAATAGATCTGACTTGCCAAAAAAAAAAAAGAGCTGAAGGCATTATTGCAGATATTGATAAAGAAACTGATAAATAAATCCACAGGGCTAGTTTAATAAAGTGAATAATGGGCTTGTTTTGAAACACGTAATAAATAGTAAGATAACATTATTTACATTTTAAAAATAAAAACTATTAACTGTAATTAGGAGAGCAAACCAAAATTAGTCAAAATATGTGAACGCGATGAGCCTAACCTGAGGGTTCTTCTCAGCATCGCTTTAGTGATTGGGCTCGTGTTGACTATCGTTATAAACTATACCACAATAGCCATCTATGTTATAGCTAGACGAATATTCCCGAAAACCCGACCATTTCATCGACGAATACACTATCATAGGCTAAACGTCGAATCCATTAGTAATTAATTAATATTACTAATCATCATCGGATCTAAACTCCAGTTCAGTAAACCGGACAGCAAACCGATTATGAATGAAGAACTTCAAATTGTCGAATACTCGATAGAATATTTTCCCAACATGAGCTGTTCACTCCCTAGGTAGGATGTTATCCATACTCAGTTGATAATAACGACGCAATAATAATGTATATAGCAATGAGATTACTTCATCGATGTGTTAACTGAACAATACGTTCGAACCGCGAACAATTGATTACAATTTATCCAACAGTTATAATTATATTTTTGTACGATACGATATCAATCTCTCTTATTCACATTAACCACATCGGAACCATAGTCTTTTATCATGTTGGTTAAGAAAGTTATTAAATGTTCGCAACATAGTAAAATCACTACTTGTTTTCAAGTCATCAAGACTTTTCTATGCTGAAAATACTAATCACTCTATACATTAAATGCCAAATAAGCAATGCAAAGCATTAAACGTTCAACTCATTAAGGGCTAAACATCAGACGCCAAAAGCATTAGACATTCGAAATATTAAGTATCAAACATCAGACGCTAATACCATTAGACGTTCAAAGTCAAATTAATAATAAAAAAGTAAAATAATTTTTTATAGTAAAATTGTAGCTATTTAAATTACTATCTTTGTCTGCGTGTATTTGTTACTTCCAAATTTTTACAAGATATTTAATGATGTATTTTCCATCAATTCTGTGTTTGTTTATGTGAGTTTTAAGAGAATCTGTTCACAAAAGTAAAAAAGCATACAACTTTGAAGAGACAACACTTTAACTAAATGTTTTGTTTGCAAATTAATTCAAACAATTTGTTCAAGAATTATTATTACCAGAAATGAATGCAAACAAAATAATAGCACCTTGATGGTTAAATATACTTGAATACTGTAACATGATAAAGCTTAACAAGATGTATAAGTTCATTATCATTACAATAGTTGCTATCATATTATTTATATTGTCAAAGAGAAAATTCATGTCAAATAATTATTTTTGTGTAACTGTATATTATAATAATATTATTATTAATTAATATTTTGTGAATTGTTAAGTGACTGTTACTGTAACATGTTAAAAACGTTTTTGACAACAATCTCTCCACTTTATCAGAATTTACTTATCACGGCTTTTTTTTAGCATCAGACCTTACCCTGCTATATAGAGATGTTCAAATTGGGTGTAAGCAATATAATAGTATGATGTCTTGTTATATTAATTGAAGAAAATAGTGGAGACCTTCTTCTCGACGGAAGATGCTTCGACTGCCTCATCCAAGATGTCCTGGACCAACTTCATGCGTGATTAACGAATAAAATATCTAAGTATTACATGGTGTAAAGCAAACAGTACGTTATAATTACGTTTTCATCATCTTTCTCACTACCTCGCACTCATCGTCATCGTGTTCACAGTTCACATCAGGGCACGGATTTTTGTATTCTCCTTCAGATGGTGTTGATTGTCGCATTCCAATAATCAAATACATTTATTTAAATGTAATTACTGCACCTTGTCCTGACCAGTTCAGTCGTACGGCTGACTTCAAACGACTCGGGGAAGTTAAAGTCTTATCTTTTTCCTCTAAAAACCGAATACCATGTACACGGCTATTAGGTCAATTATAAAGTCGCAGATAAACATAATAATAATAATATGTACCGCTACGTATTTTTTACTGCTCGTCCCCCGCTTTCGTTGTCTTATCAACAATGACAGCTTTCTTTATTTGCCATACAAATCTTGATCGATTGCTGTAATCAATATAAGTGTAATAAAGAATCGTACAACGTATTTCGTCCATTACCTGGGACAGTTGGAAAATGTTTATGTTTATTTCGTATTACATGTTGTTTAGCAGAACAATTTGTTTTGCATAAGAGAAAATCGTCATGTAAAATTAACTTGACGTTCTGCGTGGCAAACGTTAAAGCATTTATGGTTAATGCACAGCAGACTTTTTATTATAATTAAGGCGCGGAGACTTTTTCGTGTTAGTACTTTCCAATTTACGGTCAAAGAATTTTTAACAATATTATTTACTGCGCTAATTTATTCGCTCGACAAATAGATGCTCAAACACGCGATTACTGGGGGGAAAAATTTTAAACTCTGTATTAGATATAATCAAGATTTGAAGACATTAGTAATCCTGTCATTGGTTAATCATATTGACGTATTTTCAAATAACTGTTACGAGTTTCTATTATTACGCTACATGAATTTTACTTTACCGCTATAACTTTGCGATCTGTTAAGTTTAATCTTTGGGAAAATATAGTTCATAAAATAAAATTTTTGTTCCAATTCTCAATTAATTTTGTCCCGGATAGCGAAAAGCTAATAAAGGAAGGGAAACAGAGTTTTAAACGTGAGTAATGCTCTTAACTGGAATAGATTTTGCAAATAGCGTAATAGACGGCATCGATTTGACTTGAGTGTATGTCAGTAATCTGCGAGCAAGGAATCCATTCAAGTCTTCCATTCCATTTGATAAGGAAGATTGTCGATTGTAGGAACAGAATTTGTGTATTAAAGATCTATTTTCTCGATAACAAATATTCTCGTGCTGTACTACTACTACGTTGTGTCAATTAGTTCATAAATAGCGAATGTATTAAGAGTAGCAAAGTTGTTGCCATTCAACGACGTAAACCACAAGATAGTGTGTATGTATGTAGCTCTCGTGCGACAATGGCGCTCCTGACTTTTTAATTTTTGACCCTGAAAATTCCCTGTGGCGCCGTGCAACAGACCAACCCTAAATTTGACAAAATTCTTTGATAGTTTTCATTCGCCTTTCTTTTCATTACACCCCGATCTCTCTACGTAAATCATGGCAGAGTCGGTTGAGGAAAGCCAACAAGATGCACAAGCCTCCCCTGAAATGACAAGTAAAGACTACTATTTTGACTCGTACGCACATTTTGGTGAGTTGCCGTGATTGAAAGTCTTTAAATATATATGATTAATTAATATATACATTAGGTGTAAAAAGCGTATCGCAGTATCTTACAAGTGTTATTTGTGGCGAACAGGTATCCACGAAGAAATGCTCAAAGATGAAGTCCGTACATTATCTTATCGCGCTTCTATATATCAAAATAAGCATTTGTTTAGAGACAAAATAGTGCTTGACGTAGGCTGTGGAACTGGAATTCTTTCCATGTTTGCAGCCAAAGCTGGCGCAAAGCATGTGTATGGTGTAAGTTTAAGTTTTGTTTTCTTTTTTTGCGATGTGGAAAGAATGGGGAATAGGAATTGAGAGTACGTCACTACGTTTAAAGATTGATCGTGCTATAAGCAAAAATCCAAGATTTTTCTAGTAATCTGTTTTTGTGCTTGTTCTTGTCAATCTGACATGCTTTTCTTTTCAACTCAGATCGACATGTCAAACATTATCGATCAAGCTCAGCAAATAGTCGCAGATAATAAATTCAGCTCCAGTACATATTCTCCCTCTTAATCTTATTCAATCTCTCTCGCCGACCAGTCAATTTATCATCATTATGCTTGTTTGATACAACTCAGAAATAACTCTGATTAAGGGAAAAATGGAAGAAGTTGAATTACCAGTGAAAGAGGTTGATATTATTATCTCCGAGTGGATGGGGTATTTTTTGTTGTACGAATCAATGTTAGATACAGTCCTGTTTGCGAGGGATAAATATTTGGTAAGTTGGAAGAAATGGGGGAAAGCATGGGGGAAAGAATGGGGGAAAGAATGGGGGAAAGAATGGGAATGGGGAGCCGATGTAAAGGGAATTGATGAATGAGAGGTGAATTGGAGATACCGAATAGATAGCTGAGGCAATATTACATATTCTTACTTATTCATGTTTGCAGAAGAAGGGAGGTCTTGTATTCCCGGACAAGGCTACAATATATCTTGCTGCTATTGAAGATGGAGAGTACAAGGAAGAAAAAATTGAATGTAACTGTCTGTAGTTCCGAGTGTCTTTAATATGCGATCGTTTACGTTAATAACGAATGCTTTCTGGAAAGTCTGGGATAATGTGTATGGATTCAATTTTAGTTCCATTAAAGCGGTGGCTCTTAGGGAGCCATTAGTAGATACTGTTGATTACAAGGCAGTTTTGACAGATGCATGTGCTATCATGGTAAGCATTCGATAAAGAATAACAACGTTTTATCGGTTCATCGCGAGACTTTGATATTCATAGAGCATTGTCTTCATTAATATCTAACTTGCTTAATTATTCCACAAATTTAAAAGGACATCGACCTCAACACTGTACAAAAATCGGATTTAACTTTCACTGCGCCATTTGAGCTGACATCTCAACGCGACGACTACATCCACGCTTTCATAGGATGGTTTGACATTGCATTTAATGCCTGTCATAAACCAATAAGATTTAGTACAGGTAGGGAAAGGCTTGTGATACAAAGGTATTTTTGGTTTTTAGCGGTAGTCGGCCAAGTGAAAAGACTTGGCTTTGCTCACATTCTGTGAACGTTACTTGTCAACAGGCCCCTATGCAAAGTATACTCACTGGAAACAGACAGTATTTTATACACATGAGCCCATCACTATCGAAAAAGGAGAGGTCGTTAAAGGGACAATAAGTTGTGCACCTAATAAGAAGAATAACAGAGACCTGGATATTGAGATTGCGTTCGAGTTTCACGGAGCGATCTGTTCTGTATCTGAAGTGTGTAAATACAAAATGTGAGTGAGTTTATAGATATTCGATAACTAGTTATTGATTGACATGCGTTACTTTGTTCATACTAACTCTATCGTGCTTTATTAAATTACTTTGATGCATTCTCCGCGCGCGACCCAGGAGCTAGGTATTAAAGATTTTCCGGAGGGGTTAGTATGGATTTGCAAGTACGAAATGGACTCTTGGAAGGTGTACCGCAGTAAACTGACTAAATAAACACTTTACGAATTTGCAAAGACCCGATGCAAAACAAGACTTTGTGCTGTCTATTTCATTAGAGCCACCAGAATACACACACAAAAAAATAGCCTTTTATTTCACCATGGTGATTTAAACACGTGATTTTCTTATTAGTTTATGAAGTACCCGAGAGAAAAGAATAAAAAAATTTAGAATACTCTCGCTTTCCAATAAGAAAATTACCATATTTTCGCGGCCATCCAATTATGCCCGAGTTTTTAGCAGTGCTTTTGCCTATATTTTAAAATGAGGTAACTTTTAACATGTTACAACTTTTGCTTTAACGAAACCAAATAATTCATCAAGATTTTTATAATCTGTATATTATTCTAAAGTACATTTCTCGATTATTGTAAAAGAGAGTCATTAATGAAATCATTGCTCCGAGAAAACGAATGCCTATCCGCAACTTTTTTTTTTTTGACGATTGAAAAAGAGCTTATCAGGAAATTCACTTTTAAACAAGAAAATGTGAATATGCTAATTATTTTCACTTAAAAGAATCCCATGGCAAAATACGCCTATTATGTAAAACGCAAGTAAAATAAAACGCGTGGTTTATACTTGAGCATGTGGTATTACATAATAAATCTGACTTGTTGAATAACTCAGTTCTTTGTTTTAAATATAAACATCTCGACAAGAGCACTACTGAATTAATTCGTAGTGGCTAGTGTTATCGACTGGCATAACCTTTAATAACTAGCTGCTCAAGAAATTCAGCCAATCCTTGGGGACAGCATTTACATTTCATGAATTACATGCCAACCAACCGTTCGCACAGTCAGCACAAGAATGGTTAAACCAAACGTTAGCGTGTGTCCCCGCATCGAATATTTTATTAAAACGCAATTATTGGTATATAAATCACATTTTTAATGTTTGATTTAATTTCGCGTGGGAGAACACAGCATTTTAGCATCAAGACTAGACATATTGACACGGTTTTATAAAAATCAAAAACCACGGACAAAGCCATTCGTACATGGGCGTTTCCCGTTATATCGAATTTAGTAGCGAACATGTCAGCTGACTTTGCATTACTATTATGATTTTCCTCACGTTGATTAACGATCGTCAGTCCAACTTCACGCGAACCCACTCTCTTTTCATACAATTATAATTGTATCCGAGTAATTAACGAGCGTAAGGCCACGATGCCTAAATAAGTATGATTTCGGAGCGGCGATCCATAATTAATATTAATGAGTATCTGCTTGCTGTATTAATCTTAGTGTAATGTAGTTAATTTAGAACTGATGAGTAAAAATGTAGTTGAGTGTGTACAATTGATTTTAGTAATTCCAGATCGTTAACAAAATCAAGAAACATTATAATTACTATTGAGTGCCGATTTAGTTACAAAGCAGAGTGTACTGAGGAGAGATACAAAAGCGTGTGCAAAACCAGCTTTGGTTACCCATTTTGATTATATAATAGAGGCCAGGGTTCAAGAAATTCGGACAATTTCTTTGCCTCATTAGCTTATGCCATTGTCAAAATCCGCTGTATTAAATGCAAAAGTACAATACGCTCAAGGCTAGCTTGTGTTGACAAATATTATTGAATAGAATCAACTAATGTGATTGGCGTGAAAGACGGTTTGATAATGGTGTTAAAATCAGTACCAATTGTCACGAATACCCGTTAATATATATATATATAATAACACGCACGCAGTATTTTCTTTCTCTGTGTCAAAGGTTGTCATTGATGAGATAATAAACTTGCTGTTTAATAGAGTTATAAAAATTCACGTGTAATGAACAACAGCTGTCTCGCATCCGAAAGCTTTGATCACGCAGTTTGTGTTTATATGATACGCGCTCTCAAATTCATACTTCCAAAATTGGAGGGCTGTCCTCAACTTTTGCAACATGCAGGTCTTGGGGCTGAGGAATAACAATACATTCTTTGACCAATTAACCCGTTGGATTTTACGATGATGTAATTGGTTGGGGGGTTTTTTTTGCACTAATTCTTTGGCGCCCCCAATAATGTCCAACAATGATGACTTGCGGTAACGGGTTAAGTCCAAGTATTAGTGTTTGTATTAGTATATTAATATGATTAACAGTGAATTCTATTTACTATTACTATTACCTTCATTGTTGGTAGTACACGTGATTTCATAAGTATTTCCCACCAACAAGTTGAATTTGCATTTGCTTCGTGTGAAACGATTCGCCGGGAATATCTCGACTAAACCTACAAATTTTAAAAATGCCGGTAGATGGTTTGTGACACGTTCCTGCAATAAATTTAAAACGTGAGAAAAGATTCCGCATTTGTGACAATACGTACCCATGATCCCGTCATCATCGAATCCAGTTCGTAGAAGGAAAAGAACGTCATTTCAGCCACATATACTCGTGCTTTTCGCAGAAAGACCACCTAAATCAGCTAACATGCAACCATCAATTTCCTTATTCGGTATCACGTGGTCTAATAAGCATCGGTTCCGTCGATGTCGACATTTGAAAGGAGAAAAACAATAGACAGAGAAAGCAATTCTTGTTCATCACAGGATATAATCGATCATCATACATGTCGAGCTTTTCTCTCCCCAACGCTGTTTCCCGAGTACATGTATTTTGTTGTCACAACCGTTACTTTCGTTTTTTCCCCTTCCCTTTGACAGTTTTGTACAAGATTGTTTACGCCCAATTACCAACTGCCCAACCACAACCCTACCCCCTTTTTTTCCCTCTCTAAATGTATACCATTGGCTCAAAACTTACAGTCAAATGTCAAACTTTTCAAAAAAAAAAAAAAAGCCCCATATCCCCAATCCAAAATTGGTTGGCTCGCTCGTCAACCATTGTTTCACCAAATTCTTATCATGGGATCAACAAGGGTTGGGCAATTGCCAAAGAGCTCAATGACAGACCAATGTTACTCAACACAACAGCTAAACAGTTACCATTTGTAGCTCAAGAAGTACGAATCTAACTAACAAACAAGCTGCCACAAAATGGTCGATTAATAAGGAAAGCTGCAACATATCAATCTTGATGGTCTTTGCTTTTTATCTTTGTGGTCGAAAGTGTCAAATTCTATCAATTCCATTTTCACCTTTAAGGTGTCTGCAAATTTAATTCTGAACTTGTCATGGCAGATTACGCAAAGATACTGAGATCTCTGGGTAAAGTTCTGGGTTTCTCCTCCTGTTTTATGCAGCAATCGCACAACAAATTAAAAGTTGGTCTTTTCCCCTATTCGTTCCAATAGCAAAAGAGGCTAACGTAAACATACCAAAGGATGCATTTCGAACCAGACGTAGCAAGTTGGCAATCGAAGGAACAAACAGATGCCCTACATGCAATAAAGCACGCACATCGATAGGATGGTGTAAACCATGCGATACCAAGGCGTTGGAGGAACAATTTGGTACATGGACTAGCGGAAACGAAGAGTTGGACAAATTTATTCAAGAGACGCAGTCTAGTGCCAACACACCGCTTGATTTTATGCGATGGATCGAGTACGATGCGTTCACGGATATAGAGTTTATTGCAAAGGGTGGTTTCGGATCTGTGTTCGCTGCTAATTCATCAACTTATGGGAAAGTAGCGTTGAAGTTTTTGGATAATTCCGAGACCCTGACGAAAGATTTTTTGGACGAGGTAAGTTGACATCGTTCGTATGTATAAATAAAAGCATACGTCCCCTATATATACATACACACACACACACACATACATACACACACACATACATACATACACACATACATACATACAATACATACATACATACATACATACATACAATACATGCACAGACATACGTCTATGTATACACTGTCAGCCTTTACGCGTAATAACATAAACTCTCTCTTTTTCCCAATTAGCTGCGCGCTCATCATCGATGCAGTCTTGGGTCTGGAATTATCGATTGTTATGGTGTAAGCAGAGATCCAAAGACCAATAGATACGTAATGGTCATGCGATATGCTGACCATGGCAATCTACGTATGTATCTCGGCCAGTACTTTGGTGATTTGACATGGGAGATGAAGATTTCATTATTTGAGAAAGTAGCAAAGGGTTTACAAGAGATCCATGATGCGGGATTAGTACATCGCGATTTTCACTGGTAAAAAAAAATTTTATGATGTCATTGACCTGTGTTTACGTAATGTGAGACAATGTATTATTAGAACGCAATATTCGTTTACATGATGTGTTTTACAGACTTTGGTGGCTAACTATTTCGCTTTTTGTCGCACGATTTTAGCGGAAATATTCTTCGACATGAAAAACTTGTATATGTAACTGATCTTGGCATGTGTCGGCCAGTGAACGAATCAGCAGATACAGATATATACGGCGTACTCCCATATGTAGCGCCTGAAGTTCTTCGTGGCGATCCCTATACAGAGAAATCAGACATATACAGTCTTGGCATGATAATGTGGGAGTTATCTTCTAATCAACCTCCGTTCGCCGATCGTGCTCATGATTACTCGCTTGCCGTTGACGTCTGTAACGGACTGCGGCCGCCCATCATTGCTGGCACACCCAAAAATTACATGGCTGCTATGCTTCGATGTTGGGATGCCGACCCATCACGACGACCGCAAGCTTCCGAATTATTGGCGGCTACTTACAAGTGGCGCTTCCTTCAGGATGGCACAGCACCATTTCAAGGACCCAAAAAAAGGAACGTTAAGACGATACCTGTGAAATCGCCAACAACCACAACAAATGTTCATCCGCAAGCGTTTTACACTAGTCGATTGCTTCATTTTCCAAAACTGCCTGAACCCAGGAATTCAGATACTTTTGTGTTTTTCGACCCTGCCACAGGAGAAACTAGTAGGATGCTTAGAAAGCAACGTAAAGTATAGAGTCTGTTAGTTTTTTTTAACCCGTCAATAACTTGATTGATTTACCCCAACATTATCTTTTACTTTGTAGCATCAAGGGGAGATGCAAACAGGCCAGGCGAAAGTCAGCGCAGCAACCAGACGGAGAAAGGAAAGAACAGACAAATGGATCAACGAACACATATTAGAAGCAGGGATATCTCAAGAAGTATGTTTTCAATGGTTTTTATTACACGCGCGCCTCTTTTTTTTTAACTAATTTTATGTTTGTAGGTATGTCAATGGATAAAGTAGATAAAGAAATCTTGGAAAGACTGCGACGTGAACGTAGAAGATGTGCGTATAAACTAATACTTTGAATTTGCTACCATCATCTGTAATTTTGATTTTAATTCGCACTCGCCATTCAACAGCATCCAGCGAAAAAGTCTCAACATTGCACCACGATCTTCCCAAGCGACTCGAGGATCTGAACCTGAGCAACCATTAACTGTTCATTGCATTGTTATGCTACTTAATAATACTATTGATAAAAACATGGACAATAATTCAAGTCTATTGGCTTTGAATCACAAGAGCACTTCTATGTGATTTTACAACCAAAGCAAGCGGGGATTGGGATTGGGACGGGAAGTGATTAGTAAAATTCCCTTTTAAATACAACTATTACTATCTTTGCTGTTAATTCTGTAATGAGGAGAACTAAAAAGGCGAGAGTTCTACAAGTATTTAATTTGCGAGTTCATTATGCAGTAGTGGTTTGAAGGCAAATATCGAGACAGAAAAACAGGGATGAATTTATACATTCATGTCATAAGAGATATATGTTTATTGTAATAATCAATGACATATGCTCAATCATTATGTATTTTAATGCATATTATATTCGATTTCTTATTGTTCCAAATCGTGTCCGTGTCTATTGAAAATTGGTTACATACGCGTGTTTACCAAACTGTTAACAACCTCGTTTGCCAGATCCCTACCATTTTCAAGGCGTGAAAGTCTTCTCTACGAACGATCTGGATTGAGCCGACCGTGTGGCAGCAAGACGTTTGACAGTCGAACAGGCTCTGCCCGTTACATTGTTCGTTCACTGCAATGGATCTAAAGTAAAGAATCACGAATCATGCACGTAATGCTTGATTCTCGGCGTTGAGGTGTTCATTTTGCGCATGAATAGACTTGCGATGAGAATATAAACAGTCACCTATGGCGTCAATACGGGATTGTATTCAACTTGGCATATTTCCCATCGGTAAAATTCGTGCAATAATTATTACACAAACAATAAAGAAGATTTATATATAATCTTGGAAGCGCGACTACAATAGCAAGAATTTTCTAAATTGGTAACTATTACCGATTTTTCGCGCCACATTATATTTAAATTGTTGAGCCAAAAGTTGATGACGTGTTGATATACATTCGAACCTTATGTGTTATCACGTTGATGAAGGAAATGATAGAAAATATGAACAGCAACGCTGTATTATATACTCACCCTCTCGACCCAGGAAATGATATCACCCGCAAAAATTCATTCTTAAATCTATATGCCTCATGCAACGACGCCAACACCTCAAACATTGATAAGGGTAAAAAAGCTTCGAAGCCGAATTCTTAGGCTTCCGTAAGAAAGCAAATGCTGCATGGGTACAAACTTCCACCGAACAAAACTTCGTTGTTTAAGAACTTGTAAAATTTATTATGAGATTTCAAAAAGTATGGATTAAAGGGTGGGCCAGCTATAAAACTCGCTGATGAATCCAAGATTCTCAAGGCCAAGCCGAAGCGTTCGTTCTCCTCGTACTGCAGTTTGAAAGAAGTTCTGACAAAATATGGCATAGACGATAATCGAATTACGGCCATACCTCAGTTCACGCCAAGTGCACATTTATGACGGCCTAATCAGTGTATATTTTTCCCTGGCTCATAAAATTTTAGACATAACAGACATCCACAAGCTCGATGATAATGATGAAGAGTTCCTATATTGAATCAATCTACTCGTATAGTCACGCGCCTTACCGAGAATAGGGTTACTCTTAATTCCTCAGAAGTATCCGGTGGCGAAAGTCATGGTCGTGTCGACTATGCGGTTAAGAAAATCGTAGACACCACGGTGGAAGACATCAGACGCGTAACCGAGGGCAAGCAAAATCAACCGCAAGAGTCCGCCGCCGCACGAAACAGAGCCGTGGGAAGTAGCCGCCGTCGCTGTCGCCACTATTGAAAAAGAGCCGCGGGGGAATTGGTATAGCGCAGAATTTAATGCAGTGTGAAAGCTCAGAACAGGTATGATCTTATTTTCGACTGGAACGATATTTATCCTTTTATTCAACATAACACTAATCAAGCCAAATTTTATAGACGAATAGGAGAAAACGAAAGTTGACGAGGCCTTTGGGGATTCTTATTATGATTATCTCTATGGTATCGTTTCCACGGCTTCAGATTGGTATTTTCTGTTATACAGTAGTGAAAGAATCTGGTGCACCAGTAAAACAGAATATCATATCTCGCTAACTGAATCCGCTCTAGACGAAGATACCGATATACGTAAGGGGGTTAAAAGGGTGATGGAAGTAATCGTTGGTTAGTTAAAAGATAGTGTAATGATTGATAGTACACCTGATGTGAAAAGACGTCGGGTAGAAGAAATCAAAAAGTAATTATGTAGTACTATGTTAAGTAATCCGTAACCGTTATTATTATAGGTAACTACACTCGGGAAAAAAGTATCGACAAAATCTGCAGATTAATTAGTAAAACATATGAAAAATCTTTTCCTTCAAAAAGCTCTATTGTACGTGTTTATTATGTAAATCGCAATAAATTTTGAAGCTAATTGGTTGGACTTTCAAAATAATAACGTAAAATTTTTTATTAGTCACTTGTAAGAAAGGAGTTGTTCGTTAAAGTGGCAGTATACACGTACACATATGTTTTTCATGATACTGCCACTTCAACAAATTCTCAGCTCAATCGGATGTCTTTAGCAAAATTTCCAAACATCAAATGTTTTATCTTTATTATTACGCATTTTTCGCTATAAAAATTCAAAATTCATATCTCGCCAATTTTTCAACCAAATTTTGTAAAATTTTTTATTTGTTCTTTGCATTATCAGAACGCGTTTATATAATTGTTGACCGAAATACTGTGTAATTTCTACTGTAGAGTGTAAACAATCGTGCGCTACGATAATATCATGCGCATTGATTACCAACTATAGTAATTTGCAACTCGGAATATATATTCGAGGAACGTATCGATACGAATTTGACAAAACAAAAAGGTTATGCAAATCGATTAGAAACTATAGAGACAAGAATTTATAAAGTATTTGCTTTAAATAAGCGACACGCAATTTGATATGTTTTGATATGTTTTTTCATTGTTTTAAATGGGATGTTCTGAAACATTTGCTGAAGACATCCGATCGAGCTGAGAATTTACAGAAAATTAGACTTTATTATTAATAACCATTGATGCATTCTTAACATCATCAGTATATCAACTGGACAGTATCCAGACCCTTCTATTATAAAAAATAATATTTTTGCATGTGAAAGGCTTTTTCTTTACTCTATATATACTAACCAATACATGATTACTATATTAGTTTGCTACTTCCAATAAGATAAGAAATCGTGGTTAGTAATAGTTACACTTTCGAATAAAAAAACCATTACTAATTTGCTGACTATTAATTCATTTTTCTATGCAATTTTGACGAGCCTGGACACCGTCTACCATCGGGAGATAAAATTAACGGATATCTGTGTTACCTACAGCGTATAAAAAATTCTTGGTTTTGCTAAATTTACGTTTACGTTTTGAATATTAATAAGCCAGGTGAGTTGGGTAGCTATTTTCTTCTCTTTATAAGCCATAGCTTTTGTTAGCAAGAAGGAAGCGTCTGCGACAGAGGGAGACTGTCGGAAACCAACAATGGCAAGTCGTCGTAATAGTTGACGGCCGGCTGACTTTTTCGCTTAGAGTTATCGGAGGGTTGTTTTAGCAAATAAGGCGTCTGCGACAGAGGGAGACTGTTGGAAGCCAGGAATGGCAAGTCATCGTAATAGTTGATGGCCGGCCTTATCTGAAGAACAACTGCTTTGATTTTTTATCTCATTGGCTTTGATCAACAATATACTAAAAATTTTTCTATTTTTGAGCTGATGACAGTATTTGAATTCAGTTTTTATTTGGGGGACTTTTGGCATGCGTAAATGCACATGTAAAGAATGCAGGATGACGGAATTTACAGTATTGACATATCTTAATTAATCAGATAAATGTCGCGAAGCAAATTGACATAATTATGGATGGATTGTCATTGTTTCATTTCCCTCTCTTACTTCTATCGATCAATTCATGTTATCTATCACTGTCAAATCTTTAATGTGAACTATGTACGTGAGAAGAACACAATATCTCAATCGATGCAAGTACACCAGACTTCTTATTTAGGTTTCGTACGTAGGGTGTCTGAAAAGTTTTGACAATATATTTTTATCTCAATGATCTGTGCATCTATTAAATAAAGTGAGAATGTTAGTAAAGTTCAAGTCTCGATTGATCTAATATAAAAAATTTGATACAATTTGATTTGATGGTTGTTGAGAAATCTGCTTCAAAAAACCGTACCCTAAAACGTATGGAAATTTTCTATGTGAGAATACCAATGTTGCTACATCTTTGCTAGCTGGGAAAATAGCCAAATTGCAAAAGAATTTATCAAAAATTGAGGATTGACAAGGGACTCAATGCGCTGTCTGAACATACAATTTACAGATGGATTGAAGCATTTGAAGATGCGGGATGAGAGCATTAAAGATGGCTCCCACTAAGAAGTCCTCTCGCGAAGCTTTACCCTCAGAAATTTTGCAAATTGGTGAAGAACTACTAATTGAGAACCCCACATAATTTTAAAAATAACAGAGGAGGAGGTTGGGAGACCTTTAAAAAACAATTAAACATATTTTACATAGTCAACTTGATCTCAGTAAAGTATGTTCAAGATGGATTCTGTATGTCATGTAATTTTTTTTATGACAATGCATCACTTCACAAGGCACTGTAGTAGTAGTTAATAGTTACTTGCAGAAGAAGTCTAATCCATGCCACATCTTTCTTTCAGTTTATTATTATATCTGGCTTCCTGTGACATGGGGCAGACTGCAACAAAACCAGACAAAGTGAACATTCTATAATGAGGGGCTGATAGCGATGTGGCTGTAAACTTGACCATTACCTTACATACGAAGAACTCTCACAATATTGTGACCGCAGCTGCACCCAAATCGACTTTACGAAAAACTGGGCATTCGAGGACAAATCGAACTGGCAAAGCGCTCACACAAACAAAGCAGCCCTTCAATGTTACGATTATTCCAGCAAATTCTTCGCACCTGACAATAATAAGCATCGTAAATATATCTCTATCATGACTGATTCAAGGAAGTACAGACTGTGGTATGCCTTCTGGAATTATGAACAAGGACAAATAAACGCGAGAGAGACTGCTGACTATGAGTGGTGTCGGGACACTCTACGTATCTTAGCGCGCGTATTCAAAACCTTTACCACAATCGATCTGCGTGCTGCTGCATCTCCCCGAAATTTCGGGAATATAGGTTCAACTAAAGATATTTCCTCAACGGCTTCATACAATTCAGGATTTAATATTTTATTTGATCGACGTGCCAGAACCGAAGCCCTTTACGAAATGCTTGTAGAACACGGCCTTCCATTCGTGACAACAGCAGACGGTGACATAAAGGCGTCTCGGCTTTTGGGCCTTGGGTCGGATACTGTCATATTCGAAGCACGCACTGTATGTAATAAACGAGTCGCCCTCAAATTCAGTTGCATATAAATAGATGGAGAGTACTTTGAAGGAATGTGATAATTTATTTTAAACATTTTGAACAGAGTGCTTCTTGCTATGACCATTATACAATATAAAATAATGATTTTTTAACTGGTAATCATTATAATTACCACGAAAGGAAAACAATTTAATGACTCATGCGGGTTGTTGCACAACCCCTGAATCTGTTCGTTTGCATATCCGAAGACTTTACACTATTTATAGTAATATACATTGATTTTCATTTATAAACAACTCGTCGCTAAACCGTGGGATATCGGATGATCAATACCTTTGTAGACAAAGTTTAGTTTTTTATTCAAACTACTCTCAAGATGCATTCGGCAATAACCAATATTACCAAGTTACGTTCGACTTGCAGATTTTCGCAAGTTTTCGTGAAATATGGAACTCGATGTTATTCCAGTAATACAGTTTATCCTTTATGTATCTCATTCCTGTCTTCAGAGTCTTGACCATGATTAACTGGTTTCATCATTCTCGTTCGTCGTTTCCCTAGGCAAGGTAGTTGCTCATCAATATTCGTTTATAAAGTTAAATATGAATAATCATTAACACACATTTTTCCCGTCTTCCAAAAGGCAAATAGCATTGGCTTTATTGGATTAGGACAGATGGTAATTATATTGTTGGCGAGAACATGCAGTTTCCAAATATGCTGACAACATTCACTTATTGTGAAGGGATTCAAAATGGCGCAAAATTTGTATAATAAAGCCGATGCCTCGTTGATTATCTACGATATTAACAAATCAGCTACTCAAGATTTCATCTCGTTGAATAAAACGTCGGCTACGGTAAAATCAATTGACATAGCAGGATCGCCCGTCGACGTAGTGCGCAAGGCATCGGTCGTCATTACCATGCTTCCATCTTCAACCCATGTGGAGGATGTCTATTTAGGAAAGGATGGCCTCGTGCACGGCGTGGATAAAGAGAGTCTGCTTATCGATTCAAGTACAATTCATCAGAGCGTGTCTAAAGAAGTAGCTCACAAGCTAACGGGAAAAGGCGCCACTATGGTCGATGCACCCGTGTCTGGAGGTACTAAGCAGAATAGAATCAATTCCTCCTTCCCTCATGCGAGTTAGAATCGACTAATAACCGAATTCCCGTCATCTAGGCATTGTCGGAGCGGAAGCAGCGACATTGACGTTTATGGTTGGAGCCTTATCCGAATCAGATTTCCATCGCGCCAAGCCAATCTTGTCTCATATGGGCAAGAATATAGTCCATTGTGGTACCATTGGGACAGGTCAAATCGCAAAGATGTGCAACAACATGCTTCTTGCCATTTCGATGATAGGTGTATCTGAAGCCATGAACCTCGGTATTCAACTCGGAATGGATCCTAAATTATTAGCGTCGATATTAAACACATCATCCGGTAGATGTTGGTCTAGCGATACTTACAATCCCTGTCCAGGTATCATGCCTAATGTTCCGTCTAGTCGTGATTATGAAGGTGGGTTCGGTAATACTCTAATGGCGAAAGACTTGCGATTAGCTGTAAGTGCTGCTAGCGATGCTCGTGTGACTATATTATTGGGTGCTGTTGCACAGCAATTATACAATCAACTTGCTAATACTGCAGAATATGCTAAAAAGGATTTCAGTTCTATATATAAATGGTTGAGTAAAAGTAAAGGGAAATGACATAGTACGGGCTAAACCTTTTGTCCCTTGTAAACGGGTCAAACATCTGTCGAGAAAGAGATTTCAGGTGTAGAATTGCCCAACCTTATTAGGAATCGCTTTTATTTCTTTTTGTATTTTCCAAAAATTTCCTTTCATTAGAAAGAGTACCTGATCTGCAGGCAAAGAGATATGAGTAATGTAAGGCGACTATCTTCTCATATATTCTCGAAAATTATGTTAAAGCAGTGGTATTTAATTATGGCTTTTTCCGATCTAATCAAATAGAACTGTATTAAACTATTACAAAATTGTACACACCCTCGTAACCAAAATAATCGACGTTTGTATTAGTGTTTCCTTTGTCCACAATTATAATATCCAACCATTAAAACAACTCATTTTGATAGTTTTGAGATCGCAAACGCGGCGATTATAGCCGCAGAGAGCGTGATTATAGCAGCAGGCATCAGCAATTCTCGAGAAAACGGAAGATCATCGTCTTCATATTTCGATCTTCTCTTTCTCCTACGTTTTTTAATTGCTTCCTCTTCTTCCGACTCGTCACTACTCAAATCTCTTGCCCGTGGCTTGTCTGTTTCTTGTACCAACAGCAAAACTCTAGAAGCACCCTGTCGTTGAGCAATATGCACGGCATCAATCACATTCTCATCCGTCGCCATTAATACTTGATCGTTGTCATCATCGATATACGATAACGAAAAATGCTTCATGGTTTTCGGTAGCTTGGCGGCAACGGCTTCTCTAATATTATCAAACCTGGTATAATCAATTGTGAAACGATGGTTCTTCCCGTCAGGTGAGGTGAATTTAAATGTAAAGGCATGATCGTGAACTCTAGGGTATGAAGCATATGATCCATCATCAATAGCAGATGCAGATTCACTGGGATGTATTTCCGGAACAGGTGACACTCTGCCAGAGCCATACGCTCTTGAATTAGGCGATGGAGGAGGGATGTTGGATGCACTTTGAGAAGGCGAAATAGAATCGGATAAAGCAGACGCATTATCGCCATCATTGGTTAAAGACTCCCAAAAGTGGGTCCACATTGGACCTGACGTCTGCCTGTTGTTACTATCTTGACCTTCAATCGAATAAATCTAGAAAATAAAGCGTACGTAATTTAAACGCTTTACTTAATACCACTATACGATAACAAGGATACGTATTTCGAATTAAAATTGCAACTTAACACTCATACCTGCTCCATTACTTCATAAGTCAGTCTAAGAACATCGACCATGCCCAGGATATTTCCTCCATCTACTACTGGGAGGTTGAGATAGTGGCCGTCTACGAAACAGAGTCAGACGAGAAATAGCACAGAGTTATAAACAAAAAGTGGGATTACTCGATAGGAGGAAGGCTAACAGCCTTGGATAACGTTCATCGTAACAATAAATGACTATCCAACTGTCAGCCAATAACTTGGACCTATACTTACCATACATCTTTTTCAAAGCGTCGAGAATACTCATACTCGAAGGAGCAGTATCCGGATGTGGTGTCATAACTCTGACTACTGGACATTTTGAGGGATCCAATCCTGCCGCAATGACACGAAGGACGACATCTTTGCTGGTAAATATACCGGATATTGTTCCACGTTCCATCACTAGAACTGCCGTCGTACGATTATCTCTCATCAATCGAGCAATGTCCTTGACGGATGTGCGGGGACTGACTTCGACAGGGGGTTTGCCGCTTAGAACGGTGGTTAAATTGGGACAAGCCATTTTCTCTCGTAGAATTCCCATATATCGCAATATATGTGGTGGCTGATTTGACCATTCTTTTTCAACACCTTCAAGAGCAGCATATAGTTTTTGGGACGAACCGTAAGCACGTTCCATTTTTTCAAGTGCTTCGTGGAGGCATTTTGTTATATCTAATAGACCGACTACGTCACCATCTTCATTGCATATAGGCTGTCATAGATGTAAAAATTGGATTGTAATAAATAGTGTCAGTCATTTTTTAAAGGATTTGCATAAGCAACACATGTTCATAAATTTGTTGGGACTTGTCATCATCACTCACAAGGTGTCTGAAACCACGGTCAACCATGGTCTCAAGTGCATCAGTGGCCAAAGTGTCACTTTTCACGCATTTCGGTTCTCTGGTCATGATCTGCGCCACTGTCGTAGTTTTAGCATCCATGCCATCTCCAACCACCTTAAATGCCAGATCCTTGGCAGTAAATATTCCAGATAAATGCTCTTCGTTATCTATTACGAGAACACAGTCTGCCCGCTTAGCAGCCATCAATCGTGCAACTTCTTCAACAACAAAATTCTCTCTGACAGTCAGGGCTTGGGTTGGTCGTAAAGATGCAACCGTTCCATCACTTTTTGGTTGACTCTCTGCTTTTCGACCATGTCGGGTTTTTCTGGGAGATCTTTGATCTGTATCTTTATGAGAAGTCTGATCAAAATAAAGAATGCAAGGTTGAACATTGCATTGGAGAGGAGCAGACGTAGGATTAACAATTAGATATAGGCCGTATGAAACATTATTTAACGCCTTATAAAGAATATCATCTCAAACTTGGTAGCTATCAGAAAAGCTTACATAAGAGATACCCTCTCGAGAATTATCCCGGCTCATAGCCGGTGATATTACTATACTTGACCTCGACGCTTGTTTTTTAGATCGATATGACATTTTTACCCCGCTGCTATATTTTATTATTTAAGAAAAAAGAAAGTAGGTAATGTATTATAACAAAAAACGAGGTATGGGGGGAAACGATGATACTCAAACTTAAACAATGGACTTGCCCTCTGGTAAATGATTATTACTAGTTTTGCCTTATTGGGACTTCTGTGCAATGCAAACAAATTCAACGCCCAACGTGGAGTTTTCTGAAACAAATATTAATATAAACAAATATAAGGTTCGAATAACATTTATCCTCACAGCGCTCGCTGATGGCAGAAAATAGATCTGAATTAGGTAGATTAATATAAGCCGCAATTACAACGCAGTTCTTTTCGGTTCCTCTCCTAAACAGTATTAATTTTAGCTAACTGTTTATCGGACATCTACGCACAATTTTAACCAATAGCATTAAACTAGATGGGCTAAAAAAAAGGGATAGGAAATCAGTTCTGAATAACTGATTATGATAGATAAATAATAATATGGTGACGTGACTTAACGCAGACAATTGCAGTCGTATCATAGAATTATACACAGTGAAGTCCGCTTTAACGAACGTCCACTTTAACGAAGACTAATTAAATATTCGCTTTAGCGAACTGTGGTCAAAATCAATCATATTTAATTCCGTTCGGTTTAACGAATTTTACTAATAAACGTTCAGAATAACGAAGTTTTAGGATTTTTTTCTAATGGAACGGACCCCTTCGTTAAAGCGTACTTCACTGTGTACTGGAAAACTCTATAGTTCCAAATTATTATATTTATTATATATTATTACGGTGTATATGAGCATTAAGTTTGCCCTCTATGCGTTCATGACATGCATCTGCCATTTGAATATACTCTATAATGTACAATTAATGTATAAAAAATACCAAGGTAGACCAATCCCTTCTATCATCCATATCAACTGTTTGTCACAGAAAATTGCGAACTTTCCCCACGATGTTTCTCAATTCCTCCCGTCAGTAACTTATTGGAATCCTGATACATAATCTTGTACGTTCCCGCAGCTGTCTCTGGCTCAATCTCCCAAGTAACCATTGCCTTACTGTTATCCAGTCAGCTATACCGCGTACTCCAATCACCATCAATTCTCACATTCACCCACTGCCCGCTACTCTCATCCAGCTTTTGTATATACATGAAATTATCATCTCGAAAATGGTCGTTCCTCGGATTCCCAGTGACAAATTGAATAGAAAGCATCGACATCCTGAAGAATATCACCAAACTTTTTGCCAATGGGCGGGACGTCAACAATGACACCCGGTAACAAAGTTAGCGCTTTAGGTCCGGTGGTGGATCAATAAGAGCATTATGGCCGTAGATTGTGGAAGCACCTTCGTACCGTTGAACAGCGTATTCTTCAAAGTGGTTACATAGTGGGTATATTCGTTTGCTGTTTGTAGTGTATGGTTGTGAGTACACATATAGTGGGTGGCGCAAGCATGGAATAGTCTACAAAATGTATTCCTTACCAGGGCCAGAAAGCACAACGATACCATCCTCTCCAATGACCCCGTTTGCGACAAGTGTCGCTTTTACTGCATTACGAAGTCGTCGTCCAGCCATAGTGGTAAACTCTCCGGGCACAGCAAGAATAACAAAGTTTCCTATTTTG